TTGTCTGTACCAGGTAGTGATAATGATTGCTAGTGGAATCACAGCCTCACTTTCTCTCAAGGTGACCAATGCCCTGGGGCTAGCACTCATTGGCTACAACCACTGCCCACACCACACAAGTACCACAGAAGATCTGCACAGTTCTTTGTGCACTCAGAGACTCAGCTACATGCCACCTATTTTTGTGGAGTCACAGAATTTCTACAGTCTTTATGAGCAAGACTTCCATAGTCACAGGGTCCTAAAGCTCCTCTCAGCCTTAAGAGTCTGCCCTGTCCATAGAAGACAGAAGCCTTTCCAGCGCCCACTATCTCAGAGTATTCCATCTTAGTGTCCTGCAGTGCCACACCTCCCTTTGGGGCTTGTAGAAGGGTAAGGGTGTGTGCTTGCCTTACCATCCCACAAGTGTGTGTTGCCTCTTTCAAACCACTAGCCCTGAGCAAATCAATGGAGAGCATGGCTTTATCTTTTTTAACAGAACTGCTTAATTGTGTGCTTTTGCACAGATACAGGCACACAGATACAGGCTCCACAGCTTATCTCACTCCAGGGGTTGTTCCCAGCAGGTCTGTTCCAAATGGCAAATTCTACCTGGTAGATTGGGCATTTTGTGGGAGAATGGCACAAACCACTTTGCTTCTCCTTGCAAGGTGACCGATCACAACCCTTCCCTGGCTGTGGCTCCAGTCTGAACCCGGTGTCAGTGTGGTCAGAGTGATTTTACCACAGGCAGTGCCAACAGTGACTGATCCATCCCTCCCTCTTTCCCTAGATCTGCTGTTTCCCACAATCCCCAGATAGGTGTCTCTTTCCTGAGATGTCCAGGGTGGCTGATTGCAAGTGGCGCTTCCAAGTTTTGTCTTCTGGTTGCTTGGGGCTTTCCCTATTCTCCCCTGCTTCTTTGCTAAAAATCTCTCATCAGTCAGACTTCTGGAAATACAGTCTTTTCTTCATTCTTTGCACATTGCAGAGCAGCCCTAGCTGGTTTGGTTATCCCTATTCAGCAATCTTGGATCTCTCACCTTTTTCATTCTTTATAGTATGTTTTACTACAGATTTTGTGACTTTTTCTGATGAAGTATCATATAGAGTTCTCTGGTAGACATTCTATAATAAACTACTGTTAGTAGTTTTTGGTAATGTAAATAATTTTACATAATAGTGTGTTTTGAATTTTAAAATTATTCAATATTGTCATTATACTATTAAACTTATGAGTTTCTGTATAGAAGTGACATCTAGAAAAGGCACTGGATGTGACTTTGAAAGTTCCTGCATTTGGGGACTGACTACGCTGTGTGAACTTAAGTTACTTAAAATTTGTAGACCTCATTTTTCGAATAAATTAAACAGAGTAATAACAATGCTATTTATAATTTACTTTTAAAATCAGGTAAGTGGCTACTAAAGGCATGTAGCAAGGGTCTTCAAAATGTTTATGGAAAATGTGTGATGTGAAAAGACTGTTTATGAATTAAAAATTTGTCTTGCACCAAAAGCTTTCTTTTTTTTAAAAAAAAATTAATTACATTGCATTATGTGACACAGTTTCATAGGCTCTGGGATTCCCCCATTCCCTCCCTGTACCCTCCCCCCATAGTGGATTTCTCCACCTTTTTGCAATATTGTAGTTCAGATTCAGTCAAGATTCTTTCAATGCAAGCATATACCAAGCGTAGAGTCCAGCATCTCATTGTTCAGATAAATTCAATGGTTTCTTGGGGAGACCATCTCTGATCTGAAGGTAGAGCTGTCAGAATATCTTCTTGATCAATTAAAAAACCCGACATAACATCAACAACAATTTACAACATTATGGAAATAATTGACATGGTATTGAGTAACCAATATGTTAAAAAATGCAAGTTCTTGGGCCCGGTGTCGTGGCCTAGTGGCTAAAGTCCTCACCTTGAACACGCTGGGATCCTATATGGGCGCCGGTTCTAATCCCGGCAGCTCCACTTCTCATCCAGCTCCCTGCTTGTGGCCTGGGAAGGCAGTTGAGGACGGCCCAAAGCTTTGGGACCCTGTACCCGTGTGGGAGACCCGGAAGAGGTTCCTGGATCCTGGCTTCGGACTGGCATAGCATCGGCCGTTGCGCTCACTTGGGGAGTGAATCATCAGACGGAAGATCTTCCTCTCTGTCTCTCCTCTTCTCTGTGTGTCTGACTTTGTGATAAAAAATAAATAAATCTTTAAAAAAAACCCAAAAATGCAAGTTCTTAACCACATCCTGTGACTACTTCATTGACATTTCAATTTTAGTTTATATGCAACCGGCTTCTATATACCTTTAAATGGCAATAGGGTACTATTCAGCTGTCTTGTGTCTATTTCAAAAGCTTTCTTTTACTTGCATGTTTCCATGAACCTTTAAAAGTTTGTTCATATATGCATATATGCATAGTACATTGGTCTCACATAAAATATCAAGAATAGTCAGCGTAGTACAATTATGCTCTGCCAATAAAGATGTTAGAGACAAAGATACTTTTAAATTTAATGTCCTTAATGAGTAAACTTTTCCTTCTTACTTTTTCACTTATGACCACTTACTGGTTATTGTTACTCTGGACCTTATGTCAATGCTTCAGGCATAAAGAATAGGAAGGACTGCCAGGGAAAAACTGATTTTTTCCTTGTGAGGCTCTGTCTTTTAATATGACTAGGGAAATTCTTTTTTGGATTATCTGCCTGCAGTTCATTGGTTAGAGCCATGTTTCATGACCATTCTTTTCTTTAATGAAAGTTTGGAATTTATGTAGTGTACATTTTTACTCTCTGTTATAGGAGAAGGCAAGAGAGAATAGATTATGTTTAGGATTTGGGTCAACCAGCCTGCAATGTTTGCTACATACTTTCTGTAAGGATTGTTGGGAAGATTCAGAGACAATGTAGTTAAACAGTTTTTTTTTTTTTTTTAAGATTTACTTATTTTTTATTTGAAAGGCAGAGTTACACAGACAGAGAAGTAGAGGCAGAGAGAAGAATCTTTGGTCCACTGATTCACTCACTCCCCAGATGGGTGCAGTAGCTGGAGCTGGGTAGGTCTGAAGCCTGGAACTTGGAGGTTCTCCTGGGTCTCCCGCGTGGGTCCTAGGAGCCAAGAATTTGTGCTCTTCTCTGCTGCTTTCACAGGCCATTAGTAGGGAGCTGGTTTGGAAGTGGAGCCACTGGGACCTGAACAACTCCCATTATGGGATGCTGGAGCTGCAGACAGAGGCTTAGCCTGATATGCAACAGCATTGGCCCCAACATTTAAACATTTTGTGGATTATAATTTAAATTAAAAACCTGTTTATTTTTCTTCTTGCTTTCTATTGGATGTTTTAAAAATTAGACTGTATTCTTGAATTAACTTATTCTAATTTTGTATATAAAGTATAGATAATCTAGTCAAGAAGCTACTTATGTTAGGTGAGTTCATTTTGTTTATAATATTCTAGAAATTATTATTATTAGCATGTTAGGCATCAATACTGCAGTATTCCCAACCAGCTCTCCAGTTTTCTTCTAAGAATTAGAACTATTTCTACATCTTGCTGATCTTTGTACATCATCTATCCTAATCATCATTGCTAGGAGTATTCATATTTAGGCTTTCTTTTTTAGAGATCTAAAAGAAAAGAATAGCTTTCCAGAACAATATTCACCACACATGTCATATTCTCCATTTTCTCATAGGTATTGTTAAATATTTTTTAGAAAAGCCTATTTTTTCTTATAGGCACCATTAACATGGGCATAATTTTTTCCCTTTTAAGAAAAAAAATGAGAGAGGAGTTATTTTTTAGCTCTTTTTACTAAAATTATTCCTATGAGGATCTGTTAAATTGTAAGTCAGTTTATAAAAGTGAGCAAATAACCTCCAGGCCTGATGGTTTGTGGAGTGATCTCTTACATTTGGGAAGTGTTCTGTAGAATGTTTCTTTTTTAAGGAGCACTGTTTTCTGGAGAGTACATCTGCTTTGAGTGACAGCCATACTGAAATATAAAAAGCAATCTATCGGGCCCGGCACGATGGCGCAGTGGTTAAGGTCCTCGCCTTGCACGCCCAGAATCCCATATGGGTGCCGGTTCTAATCCTGGCAGCCCTGCTTCCCATCCAGCTCCCTGCCTGTGGCCTGGGAAAGCAGTCGAGGACGGCCCAAAGTTTTGGGACCCTGCACCCGTGTGGGAGACCCGGAAGAGGCTCCTGGTTCTCGGATTGGCTCAGCTGCAGCCATTGTGGCCGCCTGGGGAGTGAATCATTGGACGGAAGATTTTCCTCTTGGTCTCCGCCTCTCTGTATATCCGCCTTTCCAATAAAAATGAAAAAATAAATCCTAAAAAAAGAAAGCAATCTATCAATAGTGGGGAAAATGTTAGCAGAGGAGGCAGAGCTGCAAAGTGACTCTAGACCTCCTGTTGCTCTCTCTCATCAATGTCCTGTAAAATATTTTTGATTTGAAAAGAGTGTACCCTGACTCATCTTTAAGCCAACAGGAAGACCCTGAGCAGCTAATGTACTGAATGACAGCCCTAACTTGAACTGAGTAACTTGGCTGGGTGTTGAATTTGAAAATAGGCTCACTGTTCAAGAATATGTGTGCTGGAACAATCACATGAAGTAGGAGAAATGACCTTCAAATCACTAGTATTCAAAATTGTATGTATTTTTTTCCTTGTGGGTAATAATAAAGATGGAAAAGTTAAAGCAATTTTTCAGGAGGTAAATAATTCCTGGAAGCTCCCTGAAAAGGGGAAGAGAGGAATGAGAATGAAGTAAGAGAGCTAAGAAATAAAGGCATCTCTGAAGAATTTGGGGATTTGCAGAGGAACTTGTGGGATGTTATGGAGTTCTGAGACCATCAGGTTTCTTCTGCATTTTTTTTCAGTCTGATGAAAATGATGGTAGTTTGTAAATGTTGTCATTTGTGAGGGAATTAGACTTTGATGTGTGTGTGCTTTTTGTTTAAGCTTTAGCTTTTGCTACCTGTCTTCTTTCTTTCTTTTTGCAGACATTGTTCGAAGTGATGTTGCCTTGGATAAACAAAAAGGTTGCAAGATTGCACAACATCCTGATGTTATGCTGGAACTCCAAAGAGAGAAGGCAGCTCAGATGCATTTGATTCTTTTAAAGGAGCAATTCTCCAATACTTACAGTAATCTTGTATTAACAGGTAAGACTGCTGGAGTCAGCTGAAATCTTACAGCATCTGTTAATCTCCATAAGTTAGCTACTTGATGCTTGGGGAGCACTAAAGTGGAATCCAGATGGCCCCGTATCTGCCTATGTCCACCTACTGTGTCATTTTTCAAATTGTGACAATTCTTGTCTTTCCATAACAAGTATTTCTTTTAGTTAAAAAATTTTGTCTTGACCTTGTGGACAGTTGAGTATGGGTTTTCTCAAAAGACAGAACCAATGAAATTTAATGAAGTTTTATAAAAATATGGCTTTCTAGTTGTGTGCCAGTAGATTTAAGAGAATTACTAAATTTGGTGTTTTTTAAAATGCAGCAATTTTTCTCTTTCTGTGCATGTCCTTTCTGTGAACCCAATGAATATAAAGATGAAATGTAAAAGATAATGATTCTTAGAGCTGCTGAGAATGTCCTATTCCTGATGGAATTTGAAAATATCTGGTAAATTTGGTTTTCTTTGTAATTACATCTTTGGTTCTAGGAGGAGAAAAGTATGTTAGAGCTGCAAGGAGAAACAACTTTTTGCAGGGCTCCCTGCAAACGTGGCTGGTAAAGAGCATGCGAGTTGCCTATCTTTGAACAAAAATGTAGTAGCATACTCTAATGTGAGAATCATAAGAATTTTAGATGAATTAAGAATAGCCTCAATTACTTACATTTTCTTGAGAGTCTGTCATACCTGCTGTGTTATGTTGTTTCATATGATCTTTAACAAGTCAAAAGTTTGCTTTCCCCTTTTTATAAATATTAAAAAATAATAGAACATCTTACAAGCTGTGAATATCTCACACTTATTTTTCTAATTCAAAGTAAAGAAAAATTAATCTTTTTGTAGGATTCCTGGCATTTTACCAGGAATCAGAGAGTGGCAACCAAATTGTTTTGCTTTTAAAAAAGTGTAAGACTCTGAAATTTTCATCTTGTACCAGGTAGAAAATCCAACATCGTGAGATGAAAGCCAGATTTAAATATGGCTTTGGAGAGCAGGGACGAGGATTATGGATTTCTTAAGTATAGACTCGGTGATTTGCTCTTTGATAGCTCATTAAATGAAGGAAGTCTTCAAAGTGATTTGCAGTCAGTGCATGTGTATTCCCCTAAATTGGTTAACTGAATTAAATTTAGATGTTTGGAAAGACTGTAAGGCTTGCTTCAACTTTCTCCAGCCTACCTGATATTTGAAATGTATGTATATTTAGTATTTTCTAAAGCAATGATCAGACATGAAATATTTTAATGTAATCCTGTTCTAATATTTTTAGGCCATATTGGAGAGGTCACACCCTATGTTCTTTGATGTGCTATAGAAAAGACTTAGAGTAATTCTAACCCTAAACTGTGGATCCAGAATATGGCTTGAAGGCATATTATCCTTGAAAACACAAGTGTTCTATTGAGTTCAATGGAATTTTTCTAATTCTCAGTAACATAATCCCTTTGGATGTTTATTCACAGTTCAAACTGTTGGAATCAACATTGTCAACTTTTACCCTGACAACTTGCTTACTTTCCACTAAACAAACGTACCCTACAGAAGAGCCCTTTTTCCTGCTCTCACTTCTCCCAAGCTTCAAAGGGTCCTCAGGCATTTTCCACATTTTTCACCCAAAGCTTTTGCAGAGGTGGGACCTTGAAGTAGACAGGGCATTCAGTGCACCCCAGTTTGTTTACATGAAAGTTCAGAAGGTTTTGGTTCCAGGTGTAGGGAAGAGATGGAGTCCTTTTGGTTTAGCACCAATGGTAAAACTATTTTAATGTCCTTTACTAAGTCTTTGATTTTACCCAGTGTGGTTTTCTAATTGTTATGAAGTTTAATCCTTGATTTCTTATATAAATCCTGAGAACATGGTCTCCAGACAGCTAAACATAATATTTAAACATAACTAAACTAACTTTTGTAAATATTTCCCTTTTCAGTGATGAATGTATATTGGTAAGGAGAGCGAGGTTGAAGGGGCAGGGACCTCTCAAATGAAGTGACTTTCTTTACCAACACATGCAAAACACCTCTAGAATTCTTGTTTGGTGATATCCACTTATTTTGTGTAATCCTGAATAATGTTTGCAATATCTGCAATGAAAATATTTGTGTGAGAATAGAATGAGGAAAGTTGCCTCTAAATTCTCAGAGATCACTGTTTTCACATCTTGCTCCTATCACTATTCATTGATAGAATTTCATAAGTGTGGTTATCAGAGTGTAGTAATTGTTCCTGATCAGTTAGTGGTATGATATAAAAATGGTAAAACTGAGATTCTAGGTGTGGTAAGCATTTCATGAAATATCAAGCAATTAAAAATCATGTTAAAAATAATAGCAACAAATCCTCATTCATAGGTGTTCTGCTTTTATCTGATGTAATGGTTAACTGTTGAGTTGAGAGACACACCTTTACTTTCTATGTTTCAGCTAATGATCCTTTTTAAGCAGAAACCCCTTAAATAGTGGTCATTAATTGTCTACATTTGATCTTAGCAAAAGGACCAAGAAGCAGTTCATTAATAGTCTAATTTCAAAGGTGTAGTATCCATTTTATAAGGAAACCCCTCTAGTGATAGCCCAGTTAACAGAAACTAATATAAACTAATAAACCTTAATGCATTAATTTTATTGGATTTTTAGACAAGTGGATTTTTTTTCATGTTTTTATGCATACTTTTAAACATTGGTTAAAGTTTTCTGGTGAATGACTTATATGGTATTGGAAGTAATATTTTCCTCACTCAGCCTAAAAGATTTATGAAGTAAACTATAAAGTTATGGGAATGTGTGTAGTAATTCCGGTAGGACATCAGCGGTGGAAGATAGGTGAACCAAGTAGTGAACGTTTACACCAAGTTTGTATGTCCTACTCTTGAGTCTGTGAAAGTTGTCACTGTGCATGTCACTCAAAGATTGGTAAGTAAGAGGGAGAATTGAGTGGGAGATTTCAAGGAAAAAAACGGTATCAGTTATTTTTTTGTGCTTCTGTATATTCAGTTTTATAAATTTGTTGAAATGAAAGTCCTTTTTTACAGAATAATATAAATGCTTGCTAAATCAGTTTTATAGAGTAAGCTTCAATTATTTGTTGCTTGTCACCTGCCCGCTCTCAGTTTTGAGGTGAAAATTGAATTTTTGTTGCGAATCCCTGGGAATCAGATGGGAAATGTGAAAGTTACGTCAGTTATTTCCTTAGGAGGAAATAAATATCTTAGGACTTTATTTGGAATCTAAACTCCCAGAGGACAGAGACTATCATATCTGTTTAGCATTATTAGTACTATGAAGTCATCTGGCTAAATGTCCTCTTGACTGTCCTCCTGTTGGCTTAAAACCTACCCGTTATAAATGGGTGGCAGAATTCAATATGCTCTATTGGGGTTCCCACCGTGGGTATTACATCTTTTCCTTGGTCATTTGTGATTTCTATGCGCAACTCTACTGTGTTACTGCAGCAAGTGAACTTAGCAGAAACAGCATGTACTTCTCTGTTGTGGCTCATTCTGCTATTTCCAATTGAGAAGAAGTTCTCAACTCTGTGGCACATAGACCTGTTCTTTCTTTCTTTCTTTTTTTTTTTTTTAAGTTTTATAAAATTTTATTTTGACATTCTTTACATAGTTGATTAGGGTAAGAAGGTTCAAGGGCTACATGAAAGTGGATAATACTAGTATGTTTTCCATATTGTTACCTTCATGTTTAAAAGGGGTTATTTAAGGGAGAAGGCCCACCCATTTTCCCACCCTCCCCAGGTCCCGGATGTAGGGCATGCTCTGAGGTTCTTGCTCAAGTGGTTTTGATATTGCAACAGTTATGAATCGTTGTCAATCTTGCCACTCCAAGCACTATGAGGGCTTTGAAAAATCCACTGATTGACATAGTCCATCATAGCTGAGATGGTTGGTTGACCCGTTCTGTCTTCTCTCTTTTCTTCGTTAGGGTTTTGAGTCCAGCATTTAGATTAGGAAGATCTCCAAAGAAACTTCTTGTATGTGCTAACAAGTACAGGGCCCGGCACCATCCATCGCTCCAATCAGCTGGTGGTTGCAGTTGCTGGGTTGGTTCTGTTTTCACTCCCGACTTCCACTGGAACCAATGGGTGTTGCAGTCCAGCCTAGTTCTGCCCAGCACATACTTGGCCCTCACATAAACCAGCGGGAGCTGCAGCCTAGGTTGGAGCGACCCACAATAACCCCCACCAGGCCCACCCCCTACCCTGGTTTGCCAGTAAGTGTAGCAGTAATCCAGTCTGTCCCACACCCCATTCCACCCCAGCCGCTATCTTAGTTATCTTAGTTTTATGTCCTGTGGAAGTGGTAACCCAAGAGGGATGAGCCCACTATTTCCCTCCCAGGCCTCTCCCACTCCCAGATTCCAGTTGATGCTGCGTCTAAGCCCAAACAACCCTCGCCCACTTTAATTTTCTTTGCACCAGTAGGAATAATCCACCCAGCCCGGCTTTTCCCTGATCTGGTCCGCACGAAGCCCACAGGTGTGGTAGCTCTGCCTAGTCTGGTCTGCCCCCATCCCAGCCCATGCTCTCCTGCGGAAGTAGCTGTCCTGCAAAGGAACCCTCCCTTATTCCCCTGCCGGCTCTGCCCACTTCCTTTCTTGTTCTCAGGCTGGTAGGGCGCTGCGGTCCCTTCCGGTACAGGCAACCTCACCTCGGCATTCCATAATGTGCACTAGTCTTTGTTGCGACCAACCCTAGGTCGACCCACACTGGTGCCTGGATTTGCCAGTGGATGACGTGGACAGATTCAGCCTGGTCCTGCCCCCACGTCAGCCAATTGTATGCCAGTGGGTAGCTTTCCATGGCCTTTTCTGGGCTGTTTCCTATCATGTTTCTTGCGTTTACCTGCCGGGTCTGTGTCCTGCCAGAGGAGTTGCCCAGGCTCCTCCATCAGAACCTCTCCCAATGCCAGGTTTCACGCTTACCAGTGGGTCCATGAGCCAACCTTACTCAGTCCACCTCCTGTAATAACAGGAACTG